TCTATACCCTGAGCAAAACCACAACGAATCAAGACTCCAGCTCATCCTCCCTCCACTCTCCCGATGTCTTGCCGCTCTTCTGGCCCACTAGTCTCCCTCCTTCTTTTCTCTTGACTCTCGATCGAATACCGACGCTCTCGTCGAAGATGAAGCGCCAGATTACGTACGTCCAGCTCGTGTGGTACGGCAGTTCGTCGTAGAACTCCTTCGCGATGGCGTTCAGCTTCGGCAGTCGCGTCCAGGGGATAGCGGGGAAATCATGGTGCTCGTTGTGCAGGCCCACGTTGTACGTCAGGATGTTGAGCGGGCCGTAGTACGAGTAGGTCTCGGGTATGGGAATTTTGTTCGAGGGGTCGGATTGCGTGGAAGTCGTGGTGGCGTAGACGTAGTGCTCTGCGATGAAGTGCCCCGCACAGGGGTGCAGGCTGCCGGCGAGGAAGGAGGATGCGATGAAGTAGAGGAGCGAGTGCAGGCCGAGCGTCTTGTAGATGACCAGGTCGAATGCTAACTGGGAGACGAGGTTGAGGAAGGAGATGGATGTGAAGGGCACCGAGTACACGGCCATGGGACGGATGGCGTAGAAGAGGATCTGGAACGTGCAGAAGAATGCTTTTCCGAGGATGGAGTCGAGGAATATGGCTTCGAGCGCGGTGGGCAGATCGGTGTCGAGCCCGTCGACGCCGAGAGACTTGTGGTGGGTTAGGTGGTATGGCCTGAAAGAGGCGGAGTAGGGGATCCCGATGGGGAGATTGGCGAATATGGCGAAGACTCGGTTTAGCATCGGAGACCGGAAGGCGAGGTTGTGGGAGATCTCGTGGATGGCGAGGAAGAGGTTCTGGTTCGCTGTTGCGCCGACTATGTACGCCAGGCCCCAAAAGTAGGGGGATGAAAAGGGGGTGTTGCGCACTGAGTAGGCGGCGAGGAGCTGGATGGACACTACGAGGGCGACTACATATTTCGTCAAGGGCTCTGGACCGCAGAGCTTGGTTACCTGTGGCGGACAATGTGTTAGTTGCGTGAAGCTGGAGATACTGGATCGAATAGATGGTGTGTTGGTAGATCACATACCTCTGGGTGTGCCTTGATGATCTCTAGTCGTCGTGTCCGATGTGGCTCTTCGGTGTATGTCCAGAAGAAATCTCTGTACTTGACTTCTATGGGATCTCGGGCGGTGTCGTCTGGGGCTTGGGCTTGGTCCTCTGGTTTGCCGTTGACGCGGATGGTCTTCTCGTGGACGGGCTTGGGGGTGCTCGTCACCGTCGACGACGCTGCGGAGGGCGCCATGTTGGGTGTGGAGAGCTGCTGTCGTCTGCTATTGGGGATCGAGATTGGACAGCAGACAACGTGCAGAGAGTCGTAAAGGGGAGGTGAAGGTGGACGAATGCAGAGGAGAGCAGATGAGCATAGGATATGTCGAATTGGAGGTAAAAAGTTGCCTCTTTCCAGCTCATCCCCACGCCATTTGGATGCTGCAAGCCCCGATGAACGGTGAGAAATCTGGCCACCGACCGTGTGGTTTAGGTGGGGTGCTGTACCTGAGTGGCGAGGTGGATACTGATGGATAGGGGACGGGTGGACTATATTTCAGGGGTCTCAATTGAGTCAACCTGAACCAATCAACCTTGCTGCTTGAAGCGATTGGAGAAAACAGCTCTAGTATCCCTGCATGTGCTCTTCATTTACCCAACGACTTGTTCGACTTTATATTTTGACCAACTGCTCATTGTTTTCTTCACGTACACAAACATCAGATTCATCATCTTCTTGGAAGACGGTACTGGCCGCGAGCATAAGGATTCCGGCGGCAAAGGCGCGACTCTACTTATCGCAGTAGGCATACGCAAAGTGACAAGTGGCTCTTCGGCTGGATCGACACTTCATCAAGTGCTTCGAATCACCTATGTTGAGGGGCTGAGAAATGCTCCTCTGCCCAAGTAATCGAGGATGTCGATGCCTTTCAGATCGTATCTCTCTGCTGATCATACAGGTCTGAAGAGTAGGTACAATTGAGTCATCCTAGTGTGCCATTCTATTCACGTCTGCAAGTCACTGTATTATACTATTATTAGTGACCATGAACGTACATGTTCTCCTTTTACCACGTCCATTGCCCGAGGAACAATTGTTTGAAGCGGAAGTGACATCGTTGTACTAGCTCTGAGATTGATACCGCCCCAGATCTTGCCTCAAGCTTATGTCCGCCACGTCCGAAGAGCAACATCTTTACCCCAATGTCCGTACTGATACTCTTCGTCTGGTGGTTCCAGTGTTGAATCATCGACGTCTTAACCCTCGACCATGAGACGTGTCTCTCGTGTAACCCCCACAAGCACTTTCCAGAACCTAATCGCTCTTTGAGCTGAGAATGAGAATCGCTACATGACGGGATCAGATCTGTAGCAGGGTAATGTGACGATGGACAAGAGGTAAGACGAGCTTGAATCTTAAACTCGGACTCAAATGTACCGATCAGAGATGGGTCTTCCCGGCGATGCGTTGCCAACTTTGCGTAACCGAGCGTTCTAGGCCGAAGGAAAAGGGGGACGGACTATCTCTACATCACGAAACGTACTGCAGACTGAAATCATCTGGTGTCGGACAACTGCTCATCGTGCTTATGAAGCTCAGGAGGTCAAGAAGAGTTGATTCCCCGACTGCTGATTTCTTTCTTCAGCTTGTCAATCTGTCCTTGGAGGTGTTTCTTGCCTCTTAAAGGCTCAGCCGACCAAGGTATTTCCTCATGTCTCCATCGCGCTCTTCTGCATTAGAGCGTCTTCCCGCGGCCACCTATGAAAAAGCCCCAGTACACTGGTGTAGAATCAATTTAGTCTCGTTGCAGTGACTTTAGCACCTTCATTGTCATTCCTAATGCCCCTGCTGAGCTTTTGATGTTAGGGTCCTGCATTATGTCGGCTTCAGCAGCTTAAGCTTCGTTGCCGATGCTCTCGGTTAGCAGCTCGATTTGAAAAGGCGGCCATCGAAAAGCATTACGCGATCTTCAAGCAGTCGAATACCGTTTTCTATAGCTTCGGCTCATTCGTCTAGTTTGGCCAATTCGTTTTGAACGGCATTATATCATTCCGCAAACTTCATTCTCGACATGTCGATGATATGATCACAACTCGCTTACCGATCAAAGGAGTCGGACAATGTCATATTGCGGTCAACTTCGCACGAAGCGTATTGATGGCTTGACAACACGGGAGAGCTGCACCTGGCAAGAGTTCCTCAAGTGTGTATAATCGACATCAGTCAGACGCTGGTCGAAGCCATGCATGTGGTTCCTGATGTCGGTGTTCACAGATTCCGAACCATTTGGCTGATTTCACGCCAGGCTTCTCTGATAAGCGAGGTCTTTCGAAGAGGAAAAAAGCTGTACGCTGCGGCAACGAATTTGTCACTAGTCTTGTGCGGTATGGCCTACCAAACATTACACCATCCGACGTATTAGAAAACAAGCCGCAGTCTTCGGCGGAGGCATGACTGATGAAATCGTTCCCCAAGCAACAAAGCTACCCGAGTGTCTTATAGGATTCAAAGATATCAAAAAGACGCCGTCGAGACGAGTCTTCCATCCCCAGGATCACAAATTTACGCCGTTGTATTTGCCAGTGTTTAGTCGCTCGTCTATCCGGATGAATATTCAATGATGCTAACTCAGCTATGTCACTTCGATGAGCTTTTCAGTGGTCTTCTATTTGCATTTGCCTGCGTTTCAACATCGCTGAAACATTGTCCCGTGGCTGCCTATGAAGAGACACACTCTCACCGCTCAGGCTCTCGATGTTCTTCTTGTACGGGTGTGGGTTGCCAAAACAACCCAATCAGAACAGGGAAGTCTTCGATGTCATTCTAGGACAAACCGTCTACCACGCTTCTGCTGCCCTTCATCTCTCTCGTTGGTTTGTCATTAAGGGAGGACTATAGGCTTGACTTGAGCAGGATATTTGACTTCCTTCAGCATTGTATGGGAATCGGACGGACTTTTCGAAGAGCTTGCATGCGAGCCACTGCCAGAGTGTATTAGATGGGCTTCTCATCCTGATCCAATTGTCACCTCCCGCTCTCAAGTCCCCATTTCCAACCTCGCGACTTCAATTCCCCCAACCTGCAACATCGCTTGCTGCACAATTCTTCTGGCACAATCGCTATTGCAATAGCTTGGAGATAGTTGCATTGGATCTGGCATACTGCTGCTGCTACGAGATGTCTGGGATTGTCTGCTTATTCGTATACAGCATTCTATGCTTCGGAAATGATATCCCGAGCACATCGCATCGGTCCAGCCCGGCACAACGCCCCCTCTGTCTTGTCGGGAGATCTTAGAACAAAGCATCGTAAGTTTGGCTTAACTGACTGAGCAGCTTCCGTCTCTTCGGGTGTCTTATTCCACTTCTACCTTCAACACGATGACCTCACCTTCTACTTCTCATTCGCATCCTCGCGAACCTTTGGCGATGCTTTATACCATGTGATTGTTCCCGGCTCTTTAGGCGTTTTATCACAGGTCAACCTTCGTCGTCAAAGCCTACAAACTCTTCCGAGTCGAAGTTGTTGGTTTCTATTCCCTTCCCTCGTGCTTCCTCTGATTAATCCTGGCAGCAGATTATCGATACCGTCTGGACTGATGGGCCTTGTGCCTTGCAGGATGGGCATCACGTCAATTTACCAGTAGGTTTCAAAGTGTGCGGGTGGATCTTCATGTAACGTGAGAAAGGGTCAGGACCTTTCATTTCTCTCTGACGAAAATTGGGAGACACATGATGTGCATCTCGCAGAGACGGATGAATTGATGAGAGCAGGAAGAAGACATCCTCGATAAGCAGGCAGGTCCTGCAACCTGACTGTGACCGCTGGAACATCTACTTCTTATCCCTTAAAGTCCCACATGTCTATACGACGTAGTCGAAAGGCAGGTTCCTTCCTAGGCGTTCGGGAAGTCTGAGTCATATTTGCATATAAATTCCTAGTAGCACATGCATTCATATGAGAACGTCTACGGTTCCGTGGCCCAATTGGCAAGGCGTCTGACTACGAATCAGGAGATTCTGGGTTCGAGCCCCAGCGGGATCAACTGTAATTGTTTCTGCATTACCAATATCGAAAATTTTGCTCAATCGTTCGTCGAGTTTCTTTTGGCGTCGGTCCGAATGAAAGAGAAGGAGGATCGGATGGTGGAGGCTGAATAGCGCGTCTAGTGGATCGGCAAAGTTAGGAATTGCTGCGAAATGCAGATCTAGGCGCTAGGTCGAGGTATATAAGATCTCATCAAGGACGCCGCTTCGGCACCCATTACTGCAAGATGTGCCAATCATTTGCGCGTTCAATTCGCACGAATTTTTAACCGTTACGCACGGGGAGTCAAGAATCACGGTCTTGGACTTTACCCCTAAAAGTACAACTCGTCGCACAACAGAGACATGGGGACTTCTGCACATTCAATAGTAGCCCCAATGCCATGTCAGAACTCATAGAGGCCTATACCCAGAGGGCGCCTTTAGATCTTAATGTCCTCTATTGATTAGCTTCTTGAGTATACTGGCCGAGTGCGCCTTCAAACCTAAAGAGCACTGTGTTACTGCCCCTGGTTGTTCGGTATGTCGCTATGCAATCAGCATCCGATACAGATGGGAATCTCTGAAATATCTTCGGCAGCTTCTATTCGGACACCAGACCACGTGTCGGAGTTCACGGTCTGACGTTAATCCATACGAATCGGGCTCCAAGTTGGTAAGCCACTGAGGGTGTACTAGTCCATCCTAGTTCAAAACGAGTTGTTGACGGACGGTTGCCTGTATCCCGCCCCGGTTTCCGAATTCCCGCTTGAAGACGATTTCTGCGCAGAATCCCGAGGCGCACCTAGCTGAGTGCTCCAAGCAATTTCGCTCTAGCACGAGCTTGTGATCCTGGAATATCTGAAAGATTGAGGGAGCAATCGGGCGGACGCTGCTGGAGTCTCTAACAGAGCGAGAGGCAGTGCAAGCATTCGCTTCATGATCTTCCCCACCGTGGATGCAGTGGCAGAAAGTAGGATCAAAGCAGCGCATCTGAAGCGATACGTCGTCGTTGGAGTGAGAACAAATGTATAAATGGGTGGGTGCTTCGTCGAATCGTCTGCAGGTGGTGTCTCCAAGAGTCCGAAGTCATTTGCTCGCCTTTCAGTCTGTCCGGGAAACAATTAATTGTCCACTCCAAATCTATATGCCCCTTCAAATCAGCGAGCTCAGTTGACGATCCATGCTTCAGTCTGAACCATGGACCCGAAGTATTGATCTCCCTCGCCTCTCTCTCGAATTCTGGATGCCTTCTAGGAAGGTAGTGCTCTGGGCTATTACAATGAATCACTGTTGACCTTGTCCTCGAGCCATTGCCGAACCACAACCCCTCGATATCAGACCATTTAATGACCAGGTAAGAGCAGACTCGTACATAACCCTCGCGCCCGACACAGATACGTAAGTCTTTGGGCAGCTCTCGTTATTGGGCGAAGAACAAAATCCAGAACACCATAGATACCTATGTCGGCGCAGACCGAGTTCGTCTTGTGGGTAATGCGTTGCAGCCTTTGGCAACTTGAGCAGTACATATCCTGCCTCAGCAATGCGCGAAGCTCGAGAAGTTGTCGCAGACTCAGATCGACATGTTTGTGCGTGGTGCAAATTTGAGACAGTTATCTACAAGTCTGTGCGAGACAGGTTTGACTCACAGGATCAAGACGACGGTTGATCATCTTGATGACACGGTCCGGAATCGAGGCTAGACCAGGGCTCCCATAGCATTCTGCTCTTGGTTCCTGCCTTTGTAGCTCTAATTGGTCGTATAGAGGGGGCGCATTATCAGGGTTCTCTGTGATATCCTTCTCAAGGTCAGTGTCTCCAATAGAGACAGATTGACCGCGTTTGCGACAACGCCGCACGTGTCTCGACGACCACGAGAACACTCCTCGAAATCACGTTAGAAAGATCCGCATCGCCACCCCAGTTCTTATATGATATCAGGGATGGTAGAATCACGCGGAGATATACAAAGTGTTGTTGCATTTTTTTCTAATTACGTTGAGGGACGTCCTTAGTAGTGACCTAAATCTAAGTTTGAGTCGGTCATCTTCTATAAGAGATCGCGTCGCGTTCGGCGATGTCGAGCTAGCCGCTATGACAACGAGCAGCCCTCAAAGGAGCAAGTCTCCATAGCATATGACAGCGCGAACGTTGCAAAATTCAATACAATACTGAGCTTTGTAGCACTCAAACCGAGCAACTGAGCAAGAAACGGAAGGCGCAAGTGAAAGTAAGTTGCTTACACCCCTTACCAACCGAAAAGCTTCTGGGGCGCTACCCCGAATGTGATTTCCTACTATTCACAAGGTGTGCTTTGGATTGCGTGTCCTCGGTAGAAGAGTTTGCATTTAATTGATGAAGTGTTGGTATGGAAGCCTTAGGAGTAGGAGTTCTGATATCTAGAAATGGAGTCTTCCATACTATAGTCGCCCAACAAGAGAGCGACCTTCGAATGACCCATACTCGACGAAACCTGAGCTGACTTGTTGATTAAGACCAATTTCGTGACAACTACCGTATGATAGAGAAATGAAGGGTAAAACTTTAAGCGATACCCTTAATACATAGGATCTTGATAGGACTAATATCTTTTTATTACTATTGATGGACAGCGACGACTGTGGCTCTGACGGAAGGGGTAATTCCCGCATTGGGATGCTTTCCGTATCGGGCGAACTGGCTTGGGTGCTCTGGGGAATGTCAACTCCATCGCCGACGGCACAAGCAACTAAGTTGCATGCCTTCTCTGCTTCGTTTCGTGCCTCTCAACTCTCCCTGCCCATGCCCCTGTGGCCCATTGTACCGCGGTCTGCCGTTGCTTGGTAATTGCTGCAAGTCGCTTCTCCATCACTCTTGAATCATGCCCTTCACACGTCATAACATACGAGGGTACCGTACCTGTTGGTTAACTGTTAGACCGGTAGCCGATTCCAGAGGGCAGTCAAAGCAGCCGGCAGTTCGTCCCTACATGATACATCAAACAACAACCATTTTTTGCTCTTCTTTCCCATTCTGACTCACCCTGTCTTCCTTCCTCTCCCACTAACCTTGCCGACCCATCAACCCTCCTCCTGATCCGGAAGACTCCTCTCGAGCATCATGCTCACGCTCAAGAGCTACAGTAGCTAGCTGCACAGGAGATACATGTGAAGGTCACCACCACCGACAACAACAACAATAACAACACAAGCACAGACAACCACCCAGAAACGCCCAACCCACGTCAGCCATGTCGGCCCAGACTGAGCAGCCCATACCTCCGGCAGACTCGCCAACCACGCCGCCGCAGGAGGGTGACAAACCCAAAGAAGAGGCCTTCAATTACCCATCCGGGCTGAATTTGATTCTCGTCACCTTTGCCCTTATGCTGAACATCTTTCTCATTTTGCTCGTGAGTTTCATCTCCCTCACCGTCTGCGCAGTTCGGAGTACAGCAGAGAAACGGTTGGCGACCACCGTTTCTTATTGCCTATCGACAGGACGGATCCATAGTCTCCACCGCCGTGCCCAAGATCACCAATGAGTTCAGCTCTCTCGACCATGTCGGCTGGTACGCAAGTGTCTACTTTATGGGCTTGGCCGTGTCCCAGCTACTATTCGGAAAGCTCAACGCCATTGTCCCCAACACCAAATGGACTTACCTCGCTTGCATGATCCTATTCCTGGTCGGTTCCGCCGTGTGCGGGGCCGCGCCGTCGTCCCCGGCCCTCATCGTCGGCCGCGCCATCGCCGGCTTTGCTGCCGGCGGCGTTCTCGTCGGAACCTTCTCCCTGATCCCCTACACCGTCCCGCCTGTGCGCCGGCCCCTCTTCACCGGGCTCATCGGCGCTGTCCTCGGTATCGGCAACGCCGTTGGACCCCTGATCGGCGGAGCTATCACCATGAACGTTACATGGCGTTGGTGTGTAAGTACCTCTCGTACTTCCGCATAGCTGCCAGTCAGCCAGACACGGTACTTATCAAGTTTTTCCAGTTCTACATCAACCTGCCTATTGGTGGCTTCGCGTCTATCGTCTTCTTTTTCGTCGTCCACCCGCCAACGAAACCCGTCAAGAAGCTGCATGGAGTCGGTGGCTACCTGAAGAATTTGGATCTCATCGGTCTCTTCTTTCTGACGCCGTCCATCGTAACGCTCCTCCTCGCTACCATGTGGGGAGGCACTACATACCCCTGGAATGACGGTCGCATCATTGCGTTACTCGTTCTTTTCGGTAGCCTCTTCATCGTCTTCGCGGATGTCCAGTACTGGCAGAATGACCGGGCGATGCTCCCTCGTCGAGTGATAACCCAACGTAGCGTCGTCTGCTCGTCTCTGTTTGCCTTTGGCTCCAGTGGCGCGTCATTTCTGCTTGTCTACTATGTTCCCATGTAGGTCTTTGTACTGCGTTGTCGATTGAGCGTCGCTCAACGGCTCGCTGACCGCTAATAGTTGGTTCCAAACAATCCAGGGGGCATCCCCCTTCGAATCCGGTGTGCGAAACTTGCCCATGGTTGTCGCCACTACGATCTTCTCGCTTCTAGGAGGAGTCCTGATCAGTGTCACCGGATACTACTCGCCCTTCATGATCTTGTCGTCCATCTTGTCCGCCGTCGGTTCTGGCCTGCTTACAACCTTCCATCCCAATACTCCCAGTTCCCAATGGATCGGCTACCAAGTCATATATGGATTGGGTGTAGGTCTCAGTCGCCAGACGCCTTTGGTTGCCGTGCAGTCTGTACTGGCTTTACAAGATGTGCCTATTGGCTCAGGAGTCATCATGTTTTGCCAGACTGTTGCTGGGTAAGTTGAGCAATTCGATGCCCAGGAAAGCAGTATGCGAACAACAGACTAATTTGCCCTCACTCGTGACAGCGCCGTCTTCAATGCCGTTGCCCAAACAGTCCTGATCAACGGTCTATCCAACGGAATCCGCCAGTTGAATCTACCAGATCTGGATCCCGCGGCCCTTCTAGCCTCGGGCGCGACTGGGCTGGGCGCGAGTCTTTCGCCTGAGCAGTACACCGAGTTTATACGGA